GGGGCATTGCGGTGCCCAGTCTGCTCTAGTGCCAGTTTGGCTCAATAACCTTCAAAGTTGCGAAGTGCCATCAGCGCTTTCCTGTGTGTTTCTTCTGGTTTTTGTATAATGTATGTGTCCTTGTGCTTTATAATATAAACGCCGATGAAAGTATTTACCTTTGATAGTTAGGACGAAGCTTAGGCAGGGGGAGGAAATCCATCCACCGAAGGGAGAGCGAAGATTGCTCACGAACCCGGGGTTTTCCTTCCTTCTGAGGCTTAGTGCTAAACCTTTATACTACGGGAATATGCTATCCGTGGTTTTAAACTTGCTGAGCGCTCAGAACCGGATGCCCCCCTAAGGTAAGGTGTAGAGTTTTATTAAGCAGAATCTCACTAATGTTCGTATACTCGTTTTTTAACCCTTTCGGCCCTGGCGGTGGCAATTGCCACCACCAAATTCAAACGCTTGCATTTCCGCTGAAACAGCATGGTTTTTCTAATCCTGCTAGAGTTGCTTCAGTCAACCTTCCCCTTCCTAATTATGAGCTTAACCGGCCATTTCATTGTTTATTGCTGTTAGTATTGCAAGTATTTGTGTACAAGTGCAACAGTGAATGGGCGCTGACCCCCGCAACCGGCCAAGTAAGTGTGACTTTTTCTTAAAATACTTGAAGTAGATCCATTCCTAAATCAAAATTATGGGTTATAATGTTATGCAAGATTATAAACTTTTTCGGCACAACTATGAAATTCGAATTGTTTCGACATAAGCTTAAAAACTAAGAAGGTGGCCAATTTTCAAAGCTTCTTAGTTTCTTTGTTTGTGATCGAATAGCTTCCAAATTTCGCCATAAATGATACCTATATGCTCACAAGTAATAAACAATAGCTAGAAGAAAAATTTCTCCACGGGGAAAAATTCAGGTCCGAAAGGGTTAAAGGATAACCGTAACTATCCTCTCCCGCTCCCGCCTAATTTAACAATGAAAGCTGGGCGCTCATGTCGGTAGGGGGAGGGTCGTTGAAGTGGGTGAGCAACTTACAGAATCAGGACTGAGTCGCTAGAAAAAGAGTAAGTACGATATCTGGAGGATGTGAACTGCCTTTGTTCCCCCTGGCGTTTCTCCCCTTTCGTCGGCTTAGTCCTAGTGCCACCTACCAGCGGTTTAAATGCCCTGTGTTGAAACGGCCTCCCCTCCCCTTGGACGTGAGCGCCTAGAGCCGTTAGCATGCTTTAGCTAGCGTAGGATTAAGGATTCCTTTAATCAAATTCTGCTGGTGCTCTTGTGCAGTACTACCACATGATGAGACTCAACAGTTTCTAGTTTTCTGAGCATAATGAGCTGTATGGCTCAAAGTGTTTAAGAAGCAAAATAATGATTAGATTTGGATTTACTGCGTGAAGTTTCCCCTTTTAGCTTTTTGAAAATCTTCGTCGTAAATTGACCTGAGAACTTTAAAGTCTTTGGTCTTCATCATAAGTATATTCACTCACCTGTTTACTGAGTGTTGTTCTATTTCTGTTATTTTTTCCTTTGTTGGTATTCAATTTTGTTGTGTTGTGCCGTTCTAATCCATGGTTGCCGATCGAATAAAGGCATGAAATGTCCAAATTTAGCCTACATCGTCTCGTTTGCATTTATTTCCTTCTTCGTTGGAGGACTTGGGAACGGCTGTAGCCTTGAATGTGATTCGCTTCCGTTTCTTAATAGATTTATGATTCGTTGTGGAATTAGTTAATAGCAGATCGTATTGAATAGCGAGATCAATAATCCCGGCTATCATCGACCACATTGATGCTAAAGCACCCTCACCGAATTCCTCAATTCCTATCGAAGATCTTATCTCGCCTTCTCCGGGTTGCATGTTTGTTCTCACACTTGCTTTTTATGTTGGCATGCTGAGCACGGCCGCTCGTCGCCACCATCGTCGAACACAAGGCATACACACACTTCGCTCTAGCAATGCTAATTCACGATGATTCATAAATATTGATCATTTCTGGGCATACAAGAAAAAATATGCCCGCAACGAACAGCTCTATAGAATGTCACTACAATAACGTAGACTTGGGGATGAGAACTATTCAGCTTTTTTTCTTTCATTTTTGGTTCAGTGGTGATCTTCCACAGATCGCGAATGAACTCAGAACCCTAGCAGAAAACTTTCTCGGAAATAGACTGGCAGGAACTTTTGCGGACTAGTATCAAAGCACAATGGATACATTTGCATTTCCTTGGGAAATAAATGAAATTTGCTCCATATCGTACAAAAATGTCCACGAATCAATAACTCACGACGTAACCTGAATTGTTCAGCTGCTAAATATGGAGGAGAGAACCAATAATTACACTACCGTGATATCCACATCAACTGAACAACGATGCAGTACTAAACTTGAGGCTTTAGCAAATCAATTATGCAACACAAAAGCAGATGAAGAACAATATTAACCCAAAGATGATAAATCTTCTGAAGGACTTCGGTGAGGTGTCAGCACTCATGGTCAGATGGATAGATTATTGATCTCGTTATTCAATACGATCTGCTATTAACTAATTCCACAACGAATCATAAATCTATTTTAAGAAACGGAAGCGAATCACATTCAAGGCTACAGCCGTTCCCAAGTCCTCCAACGAAGAAGGAAATAAATGCAAACGAGACGATGTAGGCTAAATTTGGACATTTCATGCCTTTATTCGATCGGCAACCATTGATTAGAACGCACAACACCTCAAATTAAATACCAACAAAGGAAAAAAATCACTGAATAGAACAACACTCAATAAACAGGTGAATAAAAAATGAATTTGAATATACTTATGATGAAGACCTTTAAAGACTCTTAAAGTTCTCAGGTCAATTTACGACGAAGATTTTCAAAAAGCTAAAAGGGGAAACTTCACGCAGTAAATCCAAATCTAATCATTATTTTGCTTCTTTAACACTTTGGAGCCCATGCAGCCCATATGTGGGCTGCAGTCTGTCAACCGTGTGGTACCCTACGACCCATATTTTGGAAACAAGCACTCAGTTTTTCTTTTGTTTCTTCTTCCCATTTCATGCAATAAGATTTCGTCTAGATCACTGAATAGGTTTTTGTTCTCAATTTGCTCAATAAGACTTAAAAAATCCACTGAAGTCCCAAGCGGCCGAGAAACGTAAAACATGCGCGGTCTCCAACGTGTTAAGCAAATTTTAGTCTTTGATGGCACTTTCTGATTCATGTAATCAGTTTCTCAGAAAACTAGAAACTGTTGAGTCTCATCAATGTGGTAGTACTGCACAAGAGCACCAGCAGAATTTGATTAAAGGAATCCTTAATCCTACGCTAGCTAAAGCATGCTAACGGCTCTAGGCGCTCACGTCCAAGGGGAGGGGAGGCGTTCAACACAGGGCATTTAAAAACCGCTGGTAGGTGACACTAGGACTAAGCCGAGGAAAGGGGAGAAACGCCAGAGGAGAACAAAGGCTTGTTCACATCCTACAGAATACTTTCACATTCCTAAGGCTCAGTCCTGAATTCTGTAAGCCCCCCTACCGACATGAGCGCCCAGCTTTCAATGTTAAAATAGGTGGGAGCGGGAGAGGATAGCTACGGTACCTTTAAACACAACGGATGTATAGAAACTTTAGTGAGGTTCTGCGTAATAAAACTGGGGTCTATTCCGGTTAGGGGGGCATGCGGTTTGGAGCGCTCAACAAGTTTAAAACCACGCATATTCCCTTAGTATAAAGGTTTAGGACTAAGCCTCAGAAGGGAGGGAAACCCCGGGTTCGTGAGCAATCTTCGCTTTCTCGGGGAGGGATTTCCTCCCCCTTCCTAGGCTTAGTCCTAACTGATCACTAGGTAAATACTTTTCATTGACGTTTATGTTACAAAGCACAAGAACACATACATTATACAAAAACCAGAAGAAACAACGTAGGAAAAAAGCTGATAGCACTTCGTAACTTTAAAGGACTCCTTGAGCCAAACTGGCATTAGAGCAGACTGTGCACCGCAATGCCCCCCTAACTGTGATAGACCCTTGAACTGATTAAAAAAAGCCGAGGTCTCCCAAAACTTGTAGAATTTCGAAAAGAATTACGAGTGTATCGTGTTCAAGTGTCTCCGAACAGGTGTGACGCCTAACGACTTTTTCAATTCATCCACAAAGTTGTAAATAACGAACGGAATGTGCCCATAAACCCAGAGGAACGTGATCAGTAATTGAGATAGCCGACAGTTGTAAAAGCAAAGAAAGTTGCACTTGAGCAGAAAACGTGACGAGGACGTGGAGGAACGTACCTACATGACGGAGCACGGTGAACGGGGGAAAACCTGCTAAAGACTTGCTGCGCACCACATCAAAGACGATGCGACATGGTACACCAAAACACAAAGATTATCGCCGAAAGATGCGAGAAAAATGGGGCGCGGGCGAGTTGATCAAGTGACGTGATAGGATATCACACGATAACGGGCCTCAATCCGGTGCCACCAACCCGATGCCCCCCTCAACGGATCGATAACCCTTGAGCGGAATGCTGTGAGGAGGTCGTCAGAGACGTTGTCGTCGATTACAGATGAGCGCCGATAAGGACAGGTAGATGGGCTGTGGGAGAATGGAGGGAGACTCTGGCCGCCTGCACTCTCACCACTATTACTCTGCGTCTTTGCTGGCCATCGCATACTTTCCGGCGACCTCCACTGACGACAACGGTCAAACACACCGCTGCGGCGACCAGAAACGAGGGACATAAACACTGGAAGCCGTCTCGGCAAGCCACCGTAAGGGTCATGAACCGTGGTCGCGCTCGGAGAACCTCGAAAACGCGACGGAATGCACTTAATCGACCCCACACGCTGGAATAAGTGGAACTATCAACAGGAGGGGGGGGGGCAAGAAGCAACTCGGGACCTCCCTTGGCTGATACAACGATAGAAAGTCTTGGTGCTGTGTGTGGCGACGTGCAAACAGGCACAGATCGGCTTATCGTAGAATGGAATTCACTTCAGCAAACAGAAGAATGTCGGCGCGAGAGAGGGCGGGGCTTGTGACATCGCCGATGGCCCGAAGACGGTTGGAGGGAACACCGTCATCCCCAAAAAAGCCTCCAGTAAACAACAACCCTAGCGCGAGGTAAGTGTGGATGTGGCACGAAGACGGTGGTCGTCCTTGGCAGCAAGCCATACCCCGCCCACTGCCTACCTATGCTCGTTCGTTGACCTTGACTAAATATAGGCGCACTGCACCAAGAGGTATTGTTCTCCGCAGCAGCTCATCTAGGCTATGTGGCAAGTGTTCGGTCCATTTTGTGAAGGTTCGCGGCCCCTCTTGTGGCTTGGCCGCTCAGTTAATCATGGGAAGGGGTCTTAAGGAAGGAAGGGATTCCTAGGGAAGGGTTCTAGAGGTAAGAAAACACTGTTCTCGAATCAGGTCTATACGCATACGTTCTAGTGGGGTCTTATGGAGGTCCATCTCACAGAAAAATTCCTTTTCTCTAGAGTATTTGAAGTGAAGTCAATCGGTTGTGAAATAAGTGATTGCAGCTGTGCCATACCTTGTCTGTGATTGACCAATAAATAAATAAATAAATAAATAAATAAACAAATAGAGGGGTGTGCACTTAATTTCGTTCAGTGTGCATGTGGAGCAGATTCAACTATCGGAACGACCAAACTTCCCGAATTTCCCGAATGACCCCTTTTTTCCCTTCGCTACCTCCTCTGATGGTTGTTCCGCACCACTCCAGCAAACTTTTACTTCGCAAGACACCTTCCAGCGCGGACATACAGAAGGGGGGGGGGCATCCCAACTGGAAATTGAAGAGCACATTCCAACTATCAAATAACTTTACATCAACCGCTTCGAATTTGCTTCGGGAACGCCGAACAACAGTCTGTGCACGGTCGAGCTCAACGAGGTCGTCGAAGGATTGTGGACCATTACGAGCTTCTTCGAAACGCCTGGTCAAAAGCGGTCTTGCATAGTCAGAGCTAGTGTCTTTGGAAGCTATCCACCAGTTAACCGATTGAAAAATTATGTTGCAGTCTCAGTCTGGAGCAATAACGGTAGGCTTCCTTGAGCTCGACGGAAAGATGGTGAGGGTAGTGAAGGAGCCTGCTTCTGCTTATGGAGGGACATCCAAGGAATATTCTGCCGTACAACTTCATCAACAGCGGCACCTTGGGCGACGAAAACTTTACTGATTTACGCCATGACAAAGAACTCTTTTTTGCCCCACCCCTCCCCCTCCCCCTCCACCCAACTGTGCAAGAACGTTTTTCATTTTTTTTTCATTTTTACATTTTCTTTCCTCAATAATGTACCAAAGGGTGAGTAAAGCTTTTTCTTCTCTCAAAAGGAGTAAAAAGCATAATGAAAGATTTTCCTTTCTCAAAATTGTGTTGAAGATTAAATAAAGATTTTTCTTCCAAGTGCTTTGAATCTTTAGAGCTCAGAGATCTCCAAAGACTAGAAGGCACAACATATCACTTCTGGAGGACCGGGTAAGGCAAGGAAAAATAAAGCACGAACGAATCGTTTCGGCATACTTTTGGCCGCAACTGCACGTGGAAAATAAAATAGTTCCTACAAACAACACATATACCGACATTTCTGCAAACTTCTCAAAATTTGAGCCAAACCTAAAAAGTTGATCCCATTCATAGAAGCAAGCCAATTCTACCTAACCATAAAATGCATCCTCCCCTAATGATACAAACACAACATCCCTTCTCAATCTCCCTTTCCAGTAACCGTCTAGCGATTTGGATGCCTGGTGATTTGAAGATGATGACTGAGCTTTCGTGAAACTATTAGAGAGGAAGATAGGAAAATAAGAGAGAAGAGGGAATAAGACACTGCTCACAAATATGAAGACCAAAACTGACCAGTAAACTTTTCAAACAAGTTGTGAGGAATCAAAGTTGGCAAGAGATGCAGCAAAAAATTAAACCATGGCGCAACTGATGCTATGGTCACTATGGCTCCAATGAGTGCAAAATTCGTGATCGGGCCACTTATTTCCCCATGCAGGCAGAGTTTCAGGGAGAATTAAAAATGTGGATCGTCTCATATCAATGGCGCCGCATTTCCTGCCAGCTTCAACCGCTCGCAACCTGCTTGGAAAGTCCACGTAGCAGTTTTGGTCTCCATATTTGTGACCAGTATTCTTGAACTTGTAGGCTCACTCGGGTCTCTAGTCAAAGTTTCATGGGACTTGGGACTAAGCGCGGAGAGGAGAGTATGAGGCGAGAGAGCGCAACAGATGAGAGGGCGCCAGACAACAGCCTGATAAAGAAAAATTGCAGCTGCAGCAGCTTACTTTGCAAGGCCCTAGCGCTCTTGTCGGTGGTTTCCGTGCACGGGAATGCCACATTTGTGATTGTCCTCTAGGGGTCTATCCTACAGACCGAAGAGAATCGTTCACACGACTTCTGCCTGGGTTGTGCCTTCAACATCGTTCACTCCTTACTATGCTATATATATTACCATCAGTTTACAGACGAGCGTTTAAGCAAACCAGAAAGCGTCGTTCAGCGCTGCTGAATTCCTGGGACTTGGTATAACACCACGCCTTTCGTTGTTTTTCCTCTACAGTAGATGTGTTATTTTCAGACACGAGACGGAAAATCCTTTCTCTTGATGGCAGTTCCGTGCGAAATGGGACATGCTGTCATCATTTACGTATAATACAAGGAAAAAGCTCCGTAGATCGTCCGAAGCCCTCATATTATAGTTTCTCTCCTAATGCGAAGATGATTCAACAACGACGGCTCGTGTAGAATGCATTATGACCAGTTTGTAATGATTTCACGCGAAACTAGTTCTGGCCGACTTTCGCGCTTTTCTTTTCAGTAGAACAGAGCGCGCTTTACCTTCAAGATACATATAGCCCACCAACCTTCGGAAGACAGTAAGGCAGTTCCTAAGCGATAAATAGTGTAGGTGGGAATCTCTTCTCATGAAAAACGTCTGAACGAATTATTCTGGGCATGAAGCATAACGGGGCATGAAGCATAACGAACGCAATTACTACGCTTCGGTGCATATTAAACGGGGAACGGATCATTCCATCTCAACTCAAGCTCATGGTAAATCACGATCCTTTCGATCTCATTACAACGACGATTAAAGCAACAACCCAGATCGGATTGGTGGAGTAGTAGCGGTCGGTAAAGAAATTGTAGGATACCGAACCGACTAAAAATAGAAAAGGGACCGAAGCAAACCGCCGATGAAGTCAACAAGTATTCAAGCAAGAGGGGAGGAGAGCAGACGAGTTTTTTGTAGCTTGCCGCATGGCTCCAGTAACCACGCTGCGTATTTTAAGGGTGCCCGAGGTATCTCGTCCGTAAGCCCACATTAGCTGCCATAAGCTCACTTTGTAAGGCCCTAGCGCCATTGTCGCGCACTTTCGAGCCGCGACAACGGCACATATGTGATACTCGTGGGCTACTCATCCCACCCACAGAATGAATTCTTCGATACGATCTAGTCTGGGGTGTTGCTTCAAGGTAGCGAAGTACTTCACGTTCATAGATGGCTGTGAAATGCACTTCCATATTGGATAATAATTACTTTTATGCTGGAAGTAGACTCAGCTTTTACGTGAAGATTTGTGGGTTCCAGTTGGCGCTGGAGCCATTGTTCCTAAAGTAATGCTTGGGTCCAATAAATCCATACCAAGCAAAGGTTTGGGAAACTTTGAAACCATCAGGGTGCGCAGGCAATTACAAGCTCTTTTGACTTGAGAAGCATTACGCACTGAATCCAACCTTTACCTATGCTCCATAAACCTAGTTCCGATTTGTCCATTAGCTATACGAACGTGATTGCTGAACAACGTCACGGGTTGATGTAATGGACTCAAATTGAAGCCCACTGTCCCAAAACTCTGATTAACCTTTCTTATCAGAAAGAGTCGAGGTAAAGAGTGTGGTAGGTATTCCCCAAAACCCTCTGTGACCAGGTTGTTTTTGAGTTGCTCCGCTGAATTCACCTCTTTCATCAGAATACACGCAAGGCAATTTATGGCGAGTGGGTTGTTTTGCCAGAAGGTCGTTCCAATTTTCTGTTAAAAGTGGGCAAGCTATTTTCTCCCCCATTAGGGCAAGACGTCCTCCGTTCTGGAAATT